GGTCCTGGGGGGGGTGGTGTGTCTGCAGGGGGTCCAGTCCAGGTCCTGGGGGGGCTAGAATGTCTGCAGGGGGTCCAGTCCAGGTCCTGGGGGGGCCGGTCCAGGTCCTGAGGGGGACTGTGCTCTGGGAGCTGCTGAAGAGATCCTCCTGGCCACCTGTCTAATGGCAGAGGGTCAGAGTTCCCGGGTCAGTCTAGTTGCAGTGTTGCTGTGTCTTGTGCCTGTGAATGTGCCACATGACGCCGTGCCAGGGATCACCAGGGGAGAGGGCAGCGCCGCACTGCAGCCGGAGCGCCAGCTGTGTGGGCCACAGGGGTGCGCTGGTGCCCTTTGACCTGGGAGCGGTGGTCAGGGCGCTCCCGTGCCGCCGGACAGCAGTGACAGTGCACGCGGGGTCTCTATGTGTAGAATGTAGAAATATATGTCTGAATAAAGTGTTGACAGTAATGTACCGTGTGCAATATTGCCATCCAGCCCAGATTTAATTACATGAAAAGATCTAATAAAATCTCAGTGAAGTCGCTGCATCTATCTAGAGAGCAGTTGTGAAGTAAAATAACTGCAGCTTTATTTCTGAAGAGCAAGACGGCGTCTAACGGTGCTGCCCCTCTGTATCCCACAACACCCTTCTTCCTGCCTGTCTGCCTGCCTTGTCCCATAGTTCCTGGCGCGAAGACGAACTCGGAAGACGGCATGGCACAGGGAAAGCAGAAGTTCAAAGCGCAGCGTCCCGGAGTCAAAAAAGCGCAACAGCAGCACAAAAATAAAGGGCCAAAGAAGGGAGGCGAGTATTGGGGTTTCGTTTTTTGTACGGAAGGACTTCTAACTATTTCGTTAGGGTAACTGCGCTTTTTTATATCCGCCATGTTGGCTCTGGGTGCCTTAGGTGATGGAGAGCCGGAATGGCTGAAGGTGCAGCGCTGTTAGTGCTGTGTGTTGAGCACTTAAGAGAGGTGGCCAGCAGTGGATGTCTTTTCTGAGTTGTCTATTTCTGTACGTACCTATGACTACCCACAATTTTACATGTTTATTTCCCAGCTGAGTTCTTAAAATCGTGTCCAAGTAAAATCTTGCTTGTGTTTCTTGCACGCAGCCCGAGCGATCGCCCCCAAGAAAGCCCAGGTGGTCCAGCAGCAGAAACTGAAGAAGGTGAGAGCGGCCATCGCCTCACGGGCAGCTCAGGGGGTTATAACAACCCCCCTGTGGGCTCGGGGAGTTACAGTGAGCCCCCCTGTCGGCTCACGGTCTAACTTGTTCAAGTTGTGTAAAGAGGTTCAAAGCTCATGTGGGGTGTCGGTTTGATGGCAGTGTTGTTGCTGTTCCCCTCAGAGCCTGGAGGTGGCGATCAGGAGTCACATCGAGCAGGAGGTGACACAGAGGGCCAGCACCTCCCTGCACAAGAGGCTGAGCCTGCTGAAGAGCACAGAGGGGAAACCTGGAAAGCCGAAGTCTTCGTAGAGCACAGACGCACACCTACAAATACACACCTTCACCTGCGCACAGACACACAACTACACACACACACCTGCACCTGCGCACAGACACACAACTACACACACACACCTTCACCTGCGCA